TTCTGCAGTGTGCTTACTAGTCAGTAAAGATGCAAATAGCGCTTAATGGAGTTCTTCTTAATACGTCTATTGGGCATTTGCATACTGGTCATATATGAGAAGACCGGTTCTTCATTGCCAAGGTGTCTACTCTAGCAGGGTTATTCACAATAGGGTGAAGAGTTTGGAGAAGGCAGGAGAAGTGAACAATCTAGGACAACATAGCTGAGCTGGAAAGTGAGCTGAATTGGAGAATTTTTCCAGTTCAGCTATATTGTCCTAGATTGTTCCCTTCTCCTGCCTTCGCCAAACTCTTCACCCTTTTGTGAATAACCCTGTGAGAGAGATTTTGCTGATCAACAAGCCTAAGCTTAGACTCCATATGCCTATTGCCACCAATGAGTCTCCTTTTCCTTTTCTTCAATTCAACAACAAGTCCCTCCTGATCATGGTTAACGTTTAATTAAATACTTTTCATTTGCTTTAAAGAGTGAATGTGATATAAGTCCAGCCTGCTGCATGACAGAATGTTAACCTCTAGCCCTGCCACTGTGGAAATAGCAGAATTATTCATAGCATGCTACATGATCTAGGGGTTCTACCTTGGCTACCTTTACAAGTGCAAAACTGGAGGTCAACTATCTGGTTACAAAGGCTTGCACAATAAGTGAACAAGTGAAGTACTGAGCAGAAAATCTGGAGGGTAATAAAGTAAAGTTCATTTCCACTCTGCCATCTTCCAGTTTTCTTTTTGTGTTTCATTTTAAAGAAAACATGGAGCTTTGGGTAAAGCTATTTTCCCACACTGCATTTAAGACTGAACAATGCTCATGTGCAATGTATTACATCAATGGAAACCACAGGAATACCAATGATATTTTGAATCTAGACATCCTTGATACAAAGGGTACAGCTTTGTCCTTCTCACATACACATAAATAACACAATGGTGGCAGGCAGAGGTCCGCTGTCGCTGTAAGCAGAAGTACAGCTGAGTTAAGCAACAACATGGTCAAATATCACACCGTCAGCATCAGGCGTCTGAGTGTCAGAACTCTGCTAGCAATGAATCTGCCAAAAGCACTAAGCTGTATGCCACATTTTGGAAATAAAAAGTATGCACACAGCAGGAGCGTAAATAAAAATGACGGGGCGCAATAGCAAAAAATCGACATTCCAACAACAAAAAAATGGACTCTCTGCATCCATCTGCACACTCACAAAAGAACTCTGCAGAGCCCTCGATCCACAGGACCCTCTTGCTGCCTTCTATAAAGCCATCTACAGTGTCCACATGGTCTCTACTCCCAGCCAAACCCACCATAAAGAATCACATACCACCATGTGTCTACAATGCAACGATGGTGACATTGGGTCTGGCAGGGCAGCAGACCGGAAGAAAGCAAACAGAGGTGAAGGACCAGAAGCAAGACATGCTGCTGACACGTATTAAGCCCTCAGCAGAACTACCTTAACGCAGAAAATGATTGCAGGGTTACCCCTGCACTGCAAGGGTTAACTGCTTGTTTTGGTCTAAGGCTGAAAATAACAAAGTTAGACTCACTTTATCCTTGGAGACGCTCAGCTGTGACAACGCTTACTCCAGTCTCTCTCCTCCTACACTGCAGCAATGGAATGTCACTAGGTATCTTCACATTCTACAGTATACACTGTGTATAGAACGTGATCATTTACGGGACCATAGAACGCTACAGCAGAGGGGGAGAGAAGCTAGAAGGACCAGTCTAAGAGCAAGGCGGCTCAGAGGATCGGGTGAGAAAAACTTTGTTATTTCCCTCTCTAGACCAAAACAAGCACTTAACCACATTTGTAGGTAGCACCACTGCAAGGATTAATATTAATTTTCCACAGACTTCTTCTTTAAAGTGTCTCTGTGGCCAGACTATGGAGATTCAGGAATATTTTGTTTTACCAAGCAGTAAACATGTTTTAAAACAAGCCCTTACTGACCTCTGTAGCTGCAGGTACTGTGGAGTAATTCATCCTCAAAGTTTACAGCAGAAGCACTGAAGTTGTTTAGATTTTACTTTTCAGGTAAGTCCAGAAAATAGCGGATGATCTTGCCAAAAGAACAGTGACCCTGTCACTTCCTGTGAGGTTAATGCAGACCTTCACCCCCTTCTTACACTTTCCAGAAAATACTCCCCGCCCCCCCCCGTCTTCTCACAACCACAGGTATATTTCTATACATACCTTTTCTTAGTTAAACCTGCCCTGCACTTCTGGATTCTTTGACTGGTTCAGAATGACATAGCCCCTAATGGCCCCAGGTTCCTGGGATACTCACATCGTGCATCCCAGGCTTCATGGCCGCCTACAACACATTGCACATGAGCTGCGGCGTGTCATCAGGGGGCTGACTGCTGGAAGAGACAGTGGGGCTCCTGAAGACATAATATGGGAAGATAGGAATGCAGGACCGAGCCTGCAGCCCCAGATTACAACAGACAATGCTGTGTGTGAGTATGTTTATTGAGGACAACCCAGCAGGCAAGTTATGAGGAACTGAAAAATAATATTTAGAAAAAGGCGGGTAAAGCTCAAAATGATTTATAATTTATTTTGCATGCTTACATTGTCTGCATAGTATGCATCTGCTATACCTAGTCTGCCCACGGGGGTCCTGAAAAGGACTATAGTAGCTGGAGCTATTACTGCGGATGCACCGATACTGATACTAGTATTGCTATTGGCGCCGATACCGAATATTTGGCTGAGTATCCGTACCCCCCCAAATGCTCTGATACTTTCCCCGATACCGGAACGTCCGGTCAGCGGGTCGTTTCCTCTGACCAGCAGTGCAGCGATGGAACATGGAGCCGGCCTCCCGGCCAATCAGGAAGCCGGGTGGCGGGTAATGACCCACCTCCCAGCTTCCTGATTGGAAGGGACGCCAGCTCCATGCTGATTGGCTAGGAAGCCCGGCCAATCAGCATCGATCCTGCCAAACAACATGGAGGCGGCTTCTCGGGCGATCAAGAAGCCAAGTGCCCGGGAAGCAAGCTCCATGCTGGCAGAAGCACCAGTAACTCGATATCGGCGAATACTGAAATATAAATATCAGGACTAAGTGCATGCTTAGCTATTACAGTGCTGGCCTTTATCATCTGGGCCCTGTAATGAAGCTGTGCTCTGAAAACACAGGGGGTCACTCACTCTGCAGAGCAGCCATTCTGGGAACACATAGATTTTTTTTTATCAGTGAATACAATGACCACAAGTACATCTAGCTACTACAGTGCTTTACAAGGCCCCCATGGGCTGCCCAGGAATAAAATGTGTCTACTTACACTGGGCCAAGCTGGACCACTAAGTATGTAGAATAATTTATAGATGGCGTGTAGCTTTAAAGAAGAACACGGGGCATAATTATTCTTAACCCGTGCACTGAGGCTACCCCCGCACTGCACGGATTAGGTGTTCATTGACCCAATAAAATGCTGCTTGAGGCAACCGCTGCATCATTATAGGGACAGCTCTGCCTGCGTTGAAAAAAATTGTGACATTGATACAGCATGCAAACCACAACATTGCCATGCTGCGGTGACTAGAGATGAATGTAATGTCACATTTTGACATTTCAATAAAGTTTAGACATACAAAATGCAAACAGTGCATTGCACCAGGATCAACACATCGGCAATGGTTCTTCACAAGAGGCCCTATGCTCAGTGCGGATGGATGGTGTGAATCAGCCCTAAGGGCCCGCTCACACTTGTGTGGATTGTTTTTCTATAGCAGTAGATAAGCACAGCTCTCACTAAGGCTCAATTCACACCAGGGCGGGTGCTGATCAGCGTGGTTCCATTGAAAGCTGTATGGAAACCGTGCTAATCAGCGCGTAAACAAAAAGTTCAGGGAGCAATTTGGGCGGGAGGCAGTTCGGATCGCACTGACCCGTGCGGTCGCATGAATGGTCCCCATAGCAATGTATGGGATTGTCCTGTTGGCGGATCTGCGCCGCCAAACCACCCCGGTGTGAACGGGGCCTAAGAGCACACAGAAGACAATTGTTACGCTGCAACTCAGGTGTGTTCTGTGGTGCGAAGCAGACACGCTGCATTTTTCTCCTCGGACCTCAGTATGTACACTACAAATAAAGTTAAGAAAGAAGAAAGTAAAAAGTAAAAAAAAGTCCCCTGCCAGCACCATTCTATGTCAGTCCCTTCAGGGGGCGGAGACATGACGCCCTGCACTGACAGGAGTAGAGGGAATGACAATGGGTGTCTTGAATCTAGAAGAGGCCTGACACTGGACCTCAGAGGGGGGTGAACTGTGGAGGGCAGTGTCGGGGAGGACGTATGACACTCCAAGCTGCCTTTTTCTTGTCCATATTGTAAAAAGGTGAGGCCGGAGTTGGGCTTTAAATCTGAACTCTGGGATAAGGAAATATGATGTAAATATAAGAGGAACGTATATGCTTTCTGGAATCTTGGTGTGCTTTGTGAATTTCTTCCAGATCTGTGCAGTAATCCTCTGCGTTTGGGAACTTACGCCCATGCTAACAATAGTTTATATGCGTACATTCACCTACATCGATACATTCGCCTGTACATTCCTATGGAGAGAAAGACGCCACGGCTGGGGCTCCCGGGGGCCACAAATACTGGAGTATTGTGCACTGTACACCCGTGGGCATCTAAACGCATGTAGGTGGGCCCACTTAGAGGACCATTACATGCATTATTTCTACCTGCGAGGTCCTCCAGAGATATGAGTCCTCCTAGACCTGACCCTTGTACTGCTGCAGACATGATGATATATTGGGATTCTTATCGATCACTATTACTACAGATAAAAAACATAAGATATATCTCCATCCTTGTCAGTGCCAATAGAAGATGATGACCCTCCCTCCCCCAGGCACAGCACTATAGGGGGATCTCCTAGTGACAGGTGGAGGCTGAGCAGTGGTGACCCCGGGGCCCTCTGTATTGATCGGGGTCACCCCTTCCCACCCAGTATGGCACAGGAAGTGGGCACATTGGGACTCCTCTTACCGTTTCCTTGGCAGCGCTGACAGGCACCAGGATCCCCCTCCGAGCCCAGGAGCCCCCCTCCTCCGCCGCCGCCACCCGCACTATGTCGCGATAGGGTCGCTCTCCCCAGTGCTGAACGCGACCGTCCCGATAGGCGGCATAACACGACAGTGCCAGGCCTGCCCCTGCCGCCCCGGACAACAGCAGCATGGCGGGGGAGCCCCTGGGGGAGGCGAGCCGAACACGGAGAGCCCGGAGGAGGCTACGGAGAGCAGCCATGACCGGAGAGATGCAACGACCGAAGGAGGGGGAGGGGGAAGGAAAGATCGCGAGAAGAAACAAAGCGACCCTGTCACTGCGGGCTACGGGATTGTCCTGTCACCGTGCCACATCACTGTCATCGTATCACAGTGTTCTTGCACCACTGTGCCGGGGTGTCACAGCATGTCTGTCAGTGCACCACAGTGTTAAACTTCTCTGCAGTGTCAGTGCATCACAGTGCTCATCATCTCCAAAATGTCAGTGCATCACGATGTTCAGCATCTCCCCAGTGTCATCATGTCTGCACTGTTAGTGCATCACAGTGCTCATCATCTCTGCATTGTCAGTGCTTCACAGTGCTCATCATCTGTGCAGTGTCAGTGCATCACAGTACTCATCATCTGTGCAGTGTCAGTGCATCACAGTGCTTATCATCTCCAGAGTGTCAGTGCACCACAGTGCTTATCATCTCCACAGTGATTTAAACTGAAAGTTCATTTGGCTTTATCTACAATTTAGTAACTGTGCCTTTAATGTGAATCTTCCCATGGAAAGGGTTGACCTCAGGGTCACTGGGAATCTGTGTTTGTTCAAACCCAGAAGAAGCTGTCAGTGCTGACTCAATCAGCTGAGGGGCGGGGCATTCCTCGCCCAGCAACTGCATGTAAACAAAGGGGCGGGATGCTGGTGACATCGCCGACCTTATATGGCCACATGGTACACGCTTTCTGTCCTAGGGGTGACAACACACACTCACTGCAATGCATCTACAGAGGAGCAGCGTTGTCACCCTCAGCCAATAACTACAGAATTCCTCCTCCTCTAATACAGTGACTGCTCTGTATTACAAATATCATACAAGCAAAGCAAAAAAAGATGGTGTTTTGCTGTCGATAGCGCAGATCTATATATTACAAATAGTGACAAAAATATGTTTTAAAACAACAATATTTTATTTACAAATACAATATATTCATAAAATCAAAATACTATTAAAAACAAGAGAATGCCCTTCATGGCATATACAACGTCCCTTGTAGACCAACATCGCAAAATGCATGGATCGGCACAGTGCAGAAATCTGGTTTTAATAATATTTTGATTTTATGAATATATTTGTAAATAAAATGTTGTGGTTTTAACACGTTTTTGTCATTATTTGTAATATATACATCTGAGCTACCGACAACAAAACAACATTAAAACATTATTTTTTTTGCTTTGGTTGCATATTTCTCCAATTTTTGGGGGTGAGGTGCCCTTTACCTGTGTGGGCCACCCCTGAGTTGTCACATAGACCTGTCTTCATTACAGGAAGCTCCTCCACAGAGGCAAAGTTTCACACTGGATTCCTGCACACATCTGGAAGAAATTATATTTGCTTATTCCAAAATTCAGATTTAAAGGAGAACTATGAGGTGAGTGAAAATCACTCATCCCTTATAAATCGAGCCGACGTGTGACAATGAAACTCACACGTCCGCTCAACAGATCGGGAAGGGAGCGAACACACCATCGCTCGCTCATTTCTCGATCATCTCCCTGCAGAGAGCAGTGACTCAGTCTCTCAGCCACGGCTCCCTGCAGGGATTCCCCCCCTCCCCACTACGATCCTTCAGCGCTGACTGGAGGAACAGACGGGGAGGGGGCGGGTCACTCACCCAGTAGGGTGGATCTCGACAATAATGTGGGGATCCGTCCCGGCTGCGGCACTATTAGTATATTGCAGGCAATAACCTGCAATATACTGAGCTTTGGGTCACGGGAGGACGCTAGTACCGTGTTTCCCCGAAAATAAGACACTGTCTTATATTTTTTGGGGCTCAAAAAAACACACTAGGCATTATTTTCGGGGTAGGTCTTAATTTATTTTATAATGTACAACAATCCAAAGTTAATGCAAATCCAAATTAAATAAATCCAAAATGGCAAAGTTAAGAATAGAGTGATCAGGGGTGCCGTACCTTTCCAAGAGTAATTTGGTAACCAGAAGGAGCGAAGCGCGCTTTCACCATCGATTCCTCACAGGCGGAGTGCATTCGGTATCACTCCTTCTGTGACAGGAGCCGGCACTATAGAGGAAGCATCGGCTTATGCGGCTCTGCTCCCCCCACTGCCGCCTCGCTTCCTCTAGCGCTGGCTTTGTTGGCATCGCTGATTCTCTCCCGCCTCTCCCGCAGCTCTTCAAGATCCCCCTTATGCCACCACCGGCCCTGGGAATGGTCACAACTAGGTCTTATTTTCGGGGTAGGTCTTATATTTTGGCAATTTCCAAAAATAGTACTAGGTCTTATTGTCGGGGTTGGTCATATGTTTGTCCCCCATTTAGAACCCAATCCCTCTGTCCCCCATTTAGAACCCAATCCCTCTGTCCCTCATTGAGAACCCAATTCCTCTGTCCGCCCTTTTGGAACCCAGTCTAGCTGTCCCATATTTAGAACCCAATTCATTTGTCTCTCATTTAGAGCCCACTCCCTCTGTCCCCTATTTAGAACCCAATCCCTCTGTCCTTCATTTAGATCCCAATCCCTCTGTCCTTCATTTAGATCCCAATCCCTTTGTCCTTCCTTTAGATCCCAATCCCTCTGTCCTTCATTTAGATCCCAATCCCTCTGTCCTTCATTTAGATCCCAATCCCTCTGTCCATCATTTAGATCCCAATCCCTCTGTCCTTCATTTAGATCCCAATCCATCTGTCCCCCATTTAGAACCCAATTTCTCTGTCCCCAATTTAGAACCAATCCCTCTGTCCCTCATTTAGAACCCAATCCCTCTGTCCCTCATTCAGAACCCAATCCCTCTGTCCATCATTTAGAACCCACTCCCTCTGTTTACAATTTAGATCCCAAACCCTCTGTCCCTCATTTAGAACCCAATCCCCCTGTCCATTTAGAACCCAATCCCTCTGTCCCTCATTTAGAACCCAATCCCCCTGTCCATTTAGAACCCAATCCCTCTGTCCCCCATTTAGAACCCAATCCCTCTGTCCCTCATTAAGAACCCAATCCCTCTGTCCCTCATTTAGAACCCAATCCCTCTGTCCCTCATTTAGAACCCAATCCCTCTATCCCCCATTTAGAACCCTATCCCTCTGTCCTTCATTTAGAACCCAATCCCTCTGTCTCTCTCTGTTTCCTCCTCAGATGTTCTTCTTTTTGGTCTGATAGAGCACCAAAACATGTACTAATGTACTATTTAGTTCCAAAAGTGTTATACTACTTTAAATCTTTCATTAAACATCTACGTTATTTCATTTTTTTAAATGTAGTATTAGTGGTCCATGTAACAGAGGGTGGTGAGGGTGTCCTTTGTGTTGAAAGCTGTCACCATTTACCATCTTGTAAAGTTGGGAGGTAGAGTGCAGATTCTCATGGTCCAGTATTATGAACACTTAGCTGGCAGGAGGCACAGACTGGCCAAATGAGAGCAAGAATTCATCTAGGTAACACTTTTTGTGAGATCTCTAATTTTAGGATGTGAGTTGTAGATAGCAAAGTAAATTACCACCGACACTACTTCAGTCAGGTATAGTCAAGGCTAAATTTAGGGGAATATCTGAAAATTAGAGGGAAAGTGTAGCAAAGGATATAACCATTAAAAAAACTATTGTATACTCAGCTTGTACAAGTAGAGTATGGATCACTTGCAAAAATACTGGTTATATAAATGTTTCCTGGGGTCTAAATTGGAGGGACTTGGCCTACTACACCCCCTGCACCTGTAGTAAATGGGGTATCCCCACAAACTCTTAGTCCCTGTTCACACCTAGGCGTTGTGTCGCTCAAAGGTAAGTGCGACAAAATGCTCAAGACAAGGAATCCCATTCATTTCTATGGCCCCTGTTCACACTTAAGTGTTTTGTCACAAGAAGGAAAAGCCTGTCGCTGGAAAAAAGTAGATGAACTACTTTTTGGCAGATAGACTTAGTACCATGAACTTCAATGGGAAACTTTGTGCGACAAAACACTTAGATGTGAACAGGGGCCAGAGAAATGAATGGGATTCTTGTCTTGAGCGTTTTGTCGTGCTTAGGCAACAAAACGCCTGGGTATGAACGGAGCCTTATGATAAGTATAGAGGTCCTTTTAGTGGGCCCATAACCCCATTATGTTTTTCTTCCATGCAGCAGCATCATGTAATGTATTCCGTGATGTAATTGTGATAGAAACAATGACATCATTGTTCTATAATTTATGATAAAAGGGGGAACTTAGAGGAAAGTGTTTGTTTTTTTTACAGTGCATGGCAAGGGACGGCCGTGCACACACCGGCGGCTTGTTTGTGTGGACTGAGACCGGAGGTGCCGTGCGACGTGGGGTGCTGTCTGTCCCCTCTTCCCCTTTCTTGCTATTTTGGGATTCCTTGTATAAGTGGAAAACAGATGAATCGGTGATCCTGAGGCACATTTTTCTCATCTCTAATGAATTAATCCTCTCACCCAGTCGCTGCAGTCCTGGTTGTTTCTTCCACAATCTGGGGGTATCCATTTTAGATCCCAATCCCTCTGTCCTTCATTTAGATCCCAATCCCTCTGTCCTTCATTTAGATCCCAATCCCTCTGTCCTTCCTTTAGATCCCAATCCCTCTGTCCTTCCTTTAGATCCCAATCCCTCTGTCCTTCATTTAGATCCCAATCCCTCTGTCCTTCATTTAGATCCCAATCCCTCTGTCCATCATTTAGATCCCAATCCCTCTGTCCTTCATTTAGATCCCAATCCATCTGTCCCCCATTTAGAACCCAATTTCTCTGTCCCCAATTTAGAACCAATCCCTCTGTCCCTCATTTAGAACCCAATCCCTCTGTCCCTCATTCAGAACCCAATCCCTCTGTCCATCATTTAGAACCCACTCCCTCTGTTTACAATTTAGATCCCAAACCCTCTGTCCCTCATTTAGAACCCAATCCCCCTGTCCATTTAGAACCCAATCCCTCTGTCCCTCATTTAGAACCCAATCCCCCTGTCCATTTAGAACCCAATCCCTCTGTCCCTCATTTAGAACCCAATCCCCCTGTCCATTTAGAACCCAATCCCTCTGTCCCCCATTTAGAACCCAATCCCTCTGTCCCTCATTAAGAACCCAATCCCTCTGTCCCTCATTTAG